GCTCATTGGTACTCAAATGTGAATTGAAACCGAAATGTGTTAGGTGAAACACATTAAAATACTCAAAAGAAATGTAATAGAAACAAGCAAATAAACAAAGTCGCAATTCTTATTCAATAAAATATCTCCTTGTCTCCCGTCATATTTGAAAAAAAACATTACACATACATCTGTAAATTAGAAAAACTTTCTAGACAAATAGATATAATATTTTTGTGTTGTTGCTTTTGTGCGTGTTTACTTAAAGATAAGATAGTTTTGATTGGTAATTCAACATATTTTAACAACTACAATATTCTGCATAATTTTGTTGGTATATTCCAACTATTCCATAATTTCGCAAAATAGTGATTTATGTTAAACTATGTTAAATAATTTCGCTACCTCATGACTTTAATAATAAAAGAAATTATGTTACTCAACTCTATGATTAATTTCGAAATAACATTATATCATATATAACAACAATTACATACAAAATTGAACTCAATGTGTGGCATTTCCCTTGAATTCTGATTTAGATATATTCAAGGAGGTTGACAAAAAAAGAAGAAGATATATTCAAGGAAAGGAAAAACATTATTCAAAAGACAAGACTTTATTGAACCTTTTGATAACAGAGAAGAAAGAATAAAAAGATGTTTCTGAGAATTTCTAGAACAAGCATCCAGAAAAAAAAATTTCCCCATTTTTCTTTCAAACGTAGGACCCACGTTGGGATCTATAAAGCTTAATGAGTTATATCAACCTCCAAAAAAAAAAGAAACACTTAGCTAAATTATATAATCTTTTTTTTTTTTTTTGTGAGAAAGATAATCTTTACGGATTTGGTCCGGCGAATTATGGTCGTCGTCTCCATCTTTCTCCTCCATCAGATAATTCCTTAAATGGAAGAAACCAAACGAAACTCCGATCTTCTCCGTTCTCGTGTCTTCCTCTCTGGCTTTTATTGCTGGGATTGGGAATTCCTCACTGCTCTTTTGCTCTTTAGTTGCTAAACAAAAAATCTTTCAATTTCAAATTTTTCTTTCTTGGGTTTTTTTCTCTCTCTGTCTAGATTATATTTTTAGTGTTTTTTTTTTTTAAGTTTCGCCGGAGATGACGGCGGCGCAGAGAACTGTACCGGCGCCGTTTTTAAGTAAAACGTATCAGTTAGTTGATGATGTGAGCACAGACGACTTCGTTTCGTGGAACGAAGAAGGAACAGCTTTTGTGGTTTGGAAAACAGCAGAGTTTGCTAAAGATCTTCTTCCTCAATACTTTAAGCATAATAATTTCTCAAGCTTCATTCGTCAGCTCAACACTTACGTGAGTTTCACTTCACTTCAAAATATGTATATATTGTCATTTTCATTGAGAAATTTCTTCTCTTCATTTATTGTTTTAGTTAAAGATCGTTTGGTGAAAAATTGAATCATTCTTCTTTGGTAGTTAAGCCAAAATTTACATTTTTTTTTTCTCAAATGTTTTTGGGGGTTGGTGGGAAAAACTTCTAGAAGCTATTTTTTTTTACTGCTTTTTATTTACAACAGTGATCCGTATTTAACCGGCCACATCTTAGATATATAGGAGTTGGGGGTTAGTCCGACTAATTTTAATTTGTAGGCGATTTATGTCTAGTTCGACTAATCGGAATAGATAATTGATCGTTAACAGGCTAAATCCGAATGTATAAATGATTCGGGTCTAGCCCGACTAATTCGAATCCGTAGGTGATTTGACTAATCTAATTATATTAGGTGATTTGAGTCTAGTCGGCTAAATCCTAATATATAGGTGATTCGGGTTTAGTCCGACTAATTCGAATTTGTAAGCAATTGACTAATCTATAGTAATTGATTAATCTATGTGAATTGACTCTGGTCGGCTAAATCCGAATATACAAAGTTATTCAGGTTTAGTCCGACTAATCCAAATTTATAGGTGATTAAGTGTCTAATTCGACTATCCGAATGTATTTAGATAATCCGAGTTTAGTCCGACTAATCAGAATTTTATGATTTTTGTAACTATAGGGATTTCGGAAAACTGTTCCGGAAAAATGGGAATTTGCAAACGACTACTTCCGGAGAGGACAAGAAGATCTCTTGTCGGAAATACGTCGACGTAAGTCCGTGATCTCGGCGGCGGCGGCGGGAAAATGTGTTCCCATTGGTTCGCCGTCGGAGTCAAACTCGGCGGGTGATGATCACGGGTCAAGCTCCACGTCATCACCCGGGTCAAAAAACCCGGGTTCGGTGGAGAACATGGTCGCCGATTTATCCGGCGAGAACGAGAAGCTGAAACGTGAGAACGACAGTTTGAGTTCGGAGCTCGCGGTGGCGAAGAAGCAGAGAGATGAGCTCGTGACGTTCTTGACTGAGCAATTGAAAGTAGGACCCGAACAAATCGATAAAATGATTAAAGGAGGGAAATTTACGGCTGAGGAATTTAACTCCGATGGTAGTGACTGCGAAGGTTGCGACGGCGGCACC